CAGCAGGGAGGGGTTGGGGGGGACCCACGTCCACCGTGTTTGGAGGTGCTGGGAGCTGCCAGAAGCAGGCAGGGACCACCGTGCCGTGGGGTGCTGCCCTCCTGGGCTTGGATGCTTTTGGAGGGTTTGGAGGGGGGGCACTGCTGGTTTTCCCCCCCCCCCCCCCAGCCCAGGGCCAGGCCTGCTCCACCCTGTGGGCCGAGGTGTTTCTCGGCCGTGGGGGTGGGCTTGGATGGGGAGCGGAGGGCAACCGGGGGGGGCTGGGGTCTGTCCCTAGGGGCAAGGACCCTCTGGCTCCCCTCATCCACCTGCAGCGGGGAGCAAGCGATGGGGGTCGGGTAGGGCCTTTCCTTCCAGCTTCCCCCATTGCCAGGGCTGGCTCAGGGAAAAGGCATTTCCGCGGCCCCCCCCAGGCCTGGTGCCAGGCTGGAGCCCGGCCGGCTGGCTGGTGGCCCCCCCGCGCCGTCCTCCCCCAGGCACCAGTCCTCCTCGGGGGTGACAGTGATGTCCTTCCTTGGTGGCCTTGGGTTCAATCCTGCCTCGGGGAGCTGGGCCGGCCCCCAGGGTCTGGCCGGGGGTCCCTGGGGGGGGGCCCCATGATCAGAAAGGAATAAACCCCTGGGAGGAAGAGGAGGAGGAAGGCACTGGGGTGATGCTGCCAGGGTTGCAGTGGGATTTGGGATGCACAGGGTGCCCCCCCCCTTGCCGTCCTTCAAGCCAACTCCAGTGTCAGCCTCCGAAATCACTGGCCATGTTTGGGCAAGCAGCTGGGCCCCTCTCTGGCTCCTGTGGGGCAGCCCCAGCCCCCCAGCACCATGCTGGGGGGTGGCAGCAGCACCCTGGGTGAAGCCGGCGGGGGGGTTGTCCCATGAGCCTGGAAGCGATAAATCTCCCCTCCTCCCCCCTCCAGAAACCCAACCCCACCAGGCAGTTGTTGCCCCACTGGGGTTTCAGTGACCCCCATCCCACCTGCCCGGGGCGGGGGGGGTGGTGTTGGAATTTGGTCCGAATTCCTGCCAGAAGTTGCTGCCATCAGCTGATTGACGGTGAGGGGCTGGGAGCAGGGTCCGACATGCAGTCCCCAAACTGGGAATGGAGTCCCCAAATTGGGAATGGGGTCTCCAAAATAGGCATGCCATCCCCAAACTGGGCATGGGGTCCCCAAACTGGGCAGGGGGTCCCCGGCTATGTTGGAGCAAGGAGTGCTGGAGCCAAGGGACCTTCCTGTCCCTTCCCGGGGCCGGATCCAGCATCAGCTGCTTGCGGTGACTCAGGGCTGGCTATGGTCACATCCTGTCCCCAATGGTGTGACCCTTGTCTGGCACTGTGCCCCAAACCTCCAGTGGGCACCAGGTCTGGATCCAAGGGGGCTCAGCCCCGTTTGTCCATGGCAGGTTTGGCCCAGGGGGTTCGGATCTGACCCCAGCAATCCTGGGGTGGGGGACAGTCCTGTTTGTCCCAGTGCCACCTGCATACCGGGGACCAGCTGTGCCGTGAGGAAGGAGCTGCTTTGTGGGCGTTTCCTCTGGCTGCCCTGTCCGGGGGTGAGTCACCTCCGGCGCTCGCTGCTCCCCATCCCAGGTGCCCCATGGCTTGCATGGGGTGAGTGCAGCTGGATGCCCCAGGGTTGTGGGGTACCCTGGGCAGGGGGGCTTCCCCTCTCCCCATCGTTGGCTTAGCCTCTTTCCACTTGTGGCTAGCCTGTGGCAGGCTGGATGAGAAGGGAAACTGAGGCACGGTGCTGGCAGGCACGTGTCAGGTGCTGCCTGGGCTACTTCCCACGCCATAGCCCTTTTCCCGTACTGCTCCTACCCCACGCCCCTGCTTAATGACAGGCGGCCGACTGCAGGCTGCGTGCCGCATCCTGTGCCATGTTTACAGGCATCGGGGCTGTCCACAATGCTGCTGGGGCTGTGTTTACCAGGGCTGGGAAGGAGGAAGGGGCTCTTGGAGTGCTGGTTGGTGGTGGGTGGGTGGGTGGGTGCCATGTTTCCCCTGTCTTCCCCCAACCATTTTGGTGCAAAGTAGCATTTTGTGGAGGTAACGGCATGGGGATGGGGGTCAGTTCTGTGGTGGGCTGGGACTGTGGGACCTGGGGGGGACGAGGGGAGCATTGCCCCAGGAATGAGGGTGCATCACCCCGGGGTGAGTGCATCATCCCAGGGATGGGTGAGCATCGTCTCGAGGGGGGATTTGTTACCCCAGAGATGGGGGAGCATAGCCCAGGGCGGGGTGAATCGCTCTGGGGATGGGGGACCAACGCCCCAGGGACCCCATCAGCCTCCCTGATGCTGACGGACAGCCGCAGGCGCGCATTCCCAGCGGGGCTCCCGCCGCGGGGCTCGGCCATAGGCATCCGCGCCGCCCCGATTTGGCAGCAGCTGTCACGGCACTGGGGTCGGTGCTGCCGGAGGGGTCATGACCCGGCAGCTGGGCGAGCCCCTGAAACCGGGGCAGAGCTTATTATAGCTGGCGGGAGCTATTTCTGGGGGGGTGTCTGACCTGGGTGAAGGGCAGGCGAGGGGGTGGGCGAGCCACCCCCCCCCAAACCCGGCACATCCCTGGGGGTGTCACGGGAAGGGACGCTGCTGGCTGGGGGTGGCGATGCTTTGCTGGGGGGACACCCGCTGCCCGCATCCCTGCCCCAGTCTTGCATGGGGGACAGGCCCACCTCTCCCGTGGGGGTTTTTGTGTCCCCATCGATTGCCCCCACCATGTATCCCCATACCCTGGTGGCCCCAGCGTGGCTCCTGCTTGCCTGCATTTAGCTTCCCCAAGGGCTCATTTTGGGGAGGGGGAGCGGGGGTTGCCCGCGCCCCTCCAGCTGTATTTTTAGTCCTTCCCTTATAAGGTTCCCATGATTTTTGGGAGCTGTGAGCAGAATGAAGTCATCGCTGAGGTCATCCTGCCTCCCCCCCTCCCCATCCCGGCGCGGGCTCACCCCACAGGGAGTTTTTGTGTGGGCTCCATTGAAATCCCCCTCTCGCCCAGCCTTAAAGGAAACAAAACTCTTAGCTGGCTGGCAGGGGGCCAGGCTGCAGGGGGTCTGGGGGGCTCTTAAAGCACCAACCCGAACAGCCCCACACAGCTCCCCCCATGACTGCAGCCCCCAGGACCCCCTGCAACCCGCCTGTCCTTTTGCACGCGTGTGTGCACCAACACGGTGCTTCTGTCTGAGCGTGCTAGCTGGTCGGCACCTCTGCTTCTCTTTCCAGCCCCTGAAAGCGGCATGGTCCCTAAAATCAGATTGCATGTGCTCGGCTGGTGGGGTGGAACCGGTGGGTGCTGCCCAAGGGGTCCAGCAGCCTCCAGTTCAGTCTGGTGGCTTTTGGTCTGGGGGGGGTGTACCCGGTGGGGGTCTGAGCTGCAGCCCTACGCTGGGGATGGGAATGGGGGGACCCAGGCATGCACGGTCCCATTGAGCATGCTTGGTCCCGCTGGGGACATGCCCGGTCCCATTGGGGACACACACGGTCCCATTGGGGACATGCTCGGTCCTGTCAGGGGCACGCTTGGTCCCATCGGTGTCACACTTGGTGCCATAGGGGCACACTCGGTCCCACTGGGGACACACTTGGTCCTGTCGGGGACATGCTCGGTCCCATTGATGCACACTTGCTTGTGCGTTTCTTGCAGCCTGCAGACGAGCATCACCAGGGTTTTGCTCTCCAGGCTGCAG